TATCACCAAAAGTCATGGGCAGTCGTGTTCCTACAAACTTGAGACAGTTGGTTGTGACATAGAAGATGAAACCGTACTAATTGCATTAAAGTGTAATATTCTCGCGATTACTTAAGAAATAAAAGAATGTTTAACAAACATTTTTTTTTCTAAATACAAAATATATATTTTACTACAAATAAAGAAACTTAAAATAACTAACCGAACACAAAATCAAACTATTTTACTATAAAAAAAGAAATTAAAACCAACCAACCATTGAAAATTATGAAAAATTATTATAGAAAGCAAATTTAAAATATATTATAAAACAATAAATAAATTATCTAATAATAAAATTAATAATTATATTAAAATTATAAATTTTTTTATTTTATCAAATAAAAAAAAATTATGATTAAAAATAATAAATACAGTAAAACCTTACCGACTGATGGTAAAATAGTTTTTTAAAAAAAAACTAAAATATAAAAATTACCGACACGAAAATCTACCTTACCGACTGATGGTAAAAAAAAATCCTAAAATTTTCTCAAAAATTTTTTACCATCAATCGGCAAAGTAGATTTCTGTGTCGATAATTTTTTATATTTTTATTTTTCAAAAATATACCATCGGTCTGTAAGGTAGACTTCTATGTCGGTAATTTTTTGTATTTTTCTACTTTACCATCCGTCGGTAAGGTAGATTTCTGTGTCGGTATTTTTACATTTTCATTTTTCAAACATTGTTTTACCATCAGTCGGTAAGGTAGATTTCTGTGTCGGTATTTTTACATTTTGATTTTTCAAAAACTATTTTACCATCAGTCGGTAAGGTAGATTTCTATTTAGGTAATTCTGTATATTTTTATTTTTTAAAGTTTTTTTTTACCGTCTTGTTAATTTTTTAACCATCTACAATATAAAATAATAAAAATGTAAATATAAAATGAGGTACTTGGAAATATTTTTTTAATGTCAAAAAATGTGTTTTTTTAAAAATAATAAAACACACTTAAAATGGTAAACTAATTAGGGGTCTAAAACGTCAATAGCCACACGCAGGTGAGATTGCAATAACCTTGAAAGTGACTAAGTGAACCAGGTGTATATAGATCGAACCATTTTTTAAAATGATTAGTTAAAGAAAGAAATGCTCTTGACACCTTTCAGTAATAAAGAAGAAACCAAAGAAAAATATATATACATAAGTCCAGTATAAATTTAGTATATACAATATACATATATTTATGCATATGTATATATATGTGTGTCTAAGAAAACTTCCTCATAAAATACTGCCTTGACAGATTATATATAACATTATCTACCACATGTAAGCAGTGCACGTTGGATCAATATACCGACACTGGAGGCAAGGTGAGAAAGAGAGTAAGGGTAAAAGGTGAGAGAAATGAAAGAGGGAAAGAGAAAATATATATATATATATATATATATATATATATATATATATATATAGAGAGAGAGAGAAAGAGAGAGAGATTGAAAGAGGGAATTGAGAGAGAAAGAAAAGTACAAGAGAGAAAGTAAATGAGAGATATCACATGGTGTCTGAAAGCACCGGTTATCGACCGGTATATAAGGTCTATGAGCTTTGATAGTCAAAAACCGAAAAAATTTTATTGTCTGATAAAACAAGTTGCACTTACAATTAGAAATTAGCTAATTTTCTTATTGATTTAAAAAAAAAAAAAAAGAAGCAACATATATAACCGTTCTCATATTTTAAAAATCAGTTTCCATATATTATTAATTTAAACATTTTTTATTTTAAAAGTCTGTTATTAAAAAATTGCATTCATTAAAAAAAAAGTTACATCTAATTTGAATTTAATTAGAAATTTTACTATAAACCCATTTTTATTTCAATCGTATATTTAAAGAGTTCAATTTTTTGAAAAAAAAAACTCTAAAAAATGGTAATACCTACATAATTTAAAATCTTTTTTTTTCCACAAAATCGGAAAAATCATTAAATGTGATAGATTGCACTCAAACTTGGAATGAGAATATTTTTGAAATAATTGACATATATATTTCATTGACAGAATTGAAAAATTAATAATCGCAGTTAAAAAATTGCGAATTCACAAATATTGGAAAGCTAAAAAAATGTCGAAAAATCATTAAATGTAATAAATTTCCTTCGAATGGGTATGTTCTTGAGGTATATAATTAAAAATTTTCCCGACAAAATAATAAAAATAATCCTAAAATAATGGAAATAAAAAAAAATACATAAAAATATATTTTAAAAAACTATTAAACAAAATTAATTAATATTCTTTAAAATAAAAAATTTGTGAAATATTCAATCATTTTTTTTTTTAAATTTGTCGTCAGATGTAATTTATAGAGCCGGTAAATTTTTACCTTAATGGATTAAAACAAGTATACACTTTCTGACCAAACAAGATGTTCCAAGTAAAACAATTTTTTGTTAAAAAAGAAAAAACGAAGGAACTATTTTTTATTTGAAAAAAGAAAAAAATTGTTCTATGTAAATTTTATCTTCTCGTAAAATTCTCTACGTAACGGAATTTATCTTCAATGTTTTTTTTTTTTTCTTTTTGTTTATTCGGAAAAGCATTTTTTTTTTTTTTTTTGAATTTTATAGCCGATAAAACTGTCTATCTATTGACATAATTTTTCTATATAAATTTAAAAAAAAAAATATGTTATATTTCAAAATTTTCAACAAAAATTGTAAATCAATATTGAAAATTGAAATTTTTTAACTTATTGAAAAAGAACAATTACCCAAAAAGCCTCTTCAATTAAAAAAAAAGTAGTTATTTTACTGCAGTAATAAGATGATTTTAAATTTCCCTTTTTTTGATATATATGGCGTAGAATTTTAAAACTCTTATAAAAAGATTAAAACGCTCACAAAATATTATCTTTATTGACTTCGTTTTTTAACGAGTGCAATAAAATTTCATAACATTTCACGAAAAAAAGGATTCAAAATCTAATAAAAAAAAAAAAAGAAAAACAGTATGGTTGTCTCGGCCACTTCACGAACTTGCACGTTCTAGTTTGTTAAAAGAAATTTGTTAATTTTTTTTTTAACAAAATTTGAATTGTCGATATTAAGAAACTCGATATAATTGTTAATTATCATGTTAAATATTGTTAATTATTATTGTTTATATTATTGTTTATATTATTGTGAAATAAGAAATTGTGGATAATATTATTAAAAATTTGGTAAGTTTAATTAAATATAATTATTAAGTGTTTTTTTTACAATTATTTTTAAATAAAAAATAATATTAAAAAAAATTGTTTAGTTAATAAATTAACAATTGAAAATTAATAAGGATAAAGAAAAAAAAATGATATAGAATTAGATTTAATTACATATTTTCCGATTTTCAGACAAATCCTTTTGATTATACATAATGCAAATTATTGAATTTCTGGCACGAGAAAGGCGTATACAGACATAATAATATTAGTATATGAAATTTGATTATTATTAATTAAATTTCATATTCTGTTGTCTGCATAAAATATCAGAAAATTTACTTTATCGACTTTATAATTAATATAATACTTTTTATGATTAAATTCATTAAAAAGTAAGAAAAAAATCGTGAAATTGGTAAAATTTCTACTATTTTTAGTTTCAATATTTTTTTCTACATTGCTACAAACAAGTTGAAACCCAGTCTTATCAAAAGTTTGTTTCTTCTAGAATGTTTTTTAATTTAAAAAAATATACTTTATATAAAAGTAAACAAAAATTGAATATCGCAATTACTACTTGAGAAATAAATAGTTTATAAATAAAATTTTTATTTTTTTATTAATAAAATTCTTCTGTTTAGGATTTTAAAATTCTCTTATTCTGTTATAAAAATGAGTCATTTTTATAGTATAAATAAAATTAAACAATCATTTAATAAAACCGGATTTTTTTTTGTTGATATTTTTAGAAAAAAAAAAATTCTGAATTTTAATTTGAGACGAGTTGCGCTAACGGGTTTTTTTTTTTTTTTTTCTTAAAGCATATAAAATATATAATGGACACCTGATCTTAGGTTTTTAGTTCATCTGCTGAATTTTTATTTCTACTTAATAGAATCTGATCCCCTTTTTCGCGTGCGTGAAACACCACGTGACATATAGACCCCTACGTTGCCGGCTGCTGCAGCATCAGGAGTGTATCAAATTTTTTTTTTTTAATATAAATACTTATTTTTTATATAAAATGATAAAGAGTCAACGAATTAATTTCAATAGTATTTTCATTATATTCTACTTTTGGAGTATTTGAAGATTCTTTATTTTTATAAAAAAAAATATTTTTGCTTATTACTAAAAATTAGTATTTAAATAAAAAAAATTTGATTTAATCAAACATTTGGTACATTCTGTCAAATATTTAATTCAAAGAAATTCTGTATTAATTAATTATTATTTAATCTTAATTAATTTTTTATCAAAACAAATTTCATTCCTTCAAACAAAATTTTGGTTAATGAATAATTCAAATTTTTTTCTTCCTTTAAAAAATATATTAAAATAAATGAAAATAATAATTTCAAACAGTAATCAAATTTGTTTTAATTTCGTGTAGAGCCGACACAAAGTTTATTTAGTAAATTTCATTTTATTTATCTGTCAATTTAGTTTTGCGTTGAGTCAATGCTAAAATTCAGTAACTAAATTTTGTGTTAGGAAACAAAATTAAATTGACAAATTTCGTTTTACGAAAAAAAGAACAATAAATAAATTTTTGTTTCGGCTCAAAACGAAATAAAAAAATTCAAACAGATTTCTTTGAAATTTATAACAATTCTTTTTTTCAAAAATTGATTTTCTCTTAAAAATCCACTAATTAAATTGTCATCTAGACAGTAATTAAAATTAAAAAAAAAAAATTTGTAATTATAATTTTTAATACAAAATTGTGATTATTTCGTGGGGTATTTGATAAGGTAACTACGTCATTGTGCGCCTCCGCGAGGTAAAATGGAGGGGAATGTTATATGTATAATGTACATGGGAATTGTTGGAGTTGAACAGTGTCTAGTTGAGATCAGGACACCCAATGTTAAAGCCCTCTATACGCTTATTCCGTGTTTCATCATTGACAAAACGCGTTCAAAACTCCGTATGACGCGCGATCATGGTCTTTTTCTGTGATAAAAATTAACTCAAAATAGAAGCTCATAAGCTCCGCGGGCAACTTGTGTTCAACACCAGCCTCGGATACTTGAGCCATTGCAAAGCCTGGGCAAAGGGTCTCACAATTTTCAGAAGCTGACACCTACTTTTTTTCAAACAACTATGCCGGTACGTTATTGACAATAATAACAAAAAAAAAATAATTTTTTAATTTAATCAGAATAGTGTTCTGAAAAAAAAAAAAAAAAATTGTTCACCCATTTTCTATTACTGTTATACATATATGTATATGACACCTATATCGTTTTCCCACGAGAGAAAAACAAACACACAGCTACCGGTAACAAATGACACATGCACTACTGACAGCTTTGACATTTATGGCACATGTACGTACATACATACATGTCTATATTTCTGTTGAGTATTTTTGAGAAGGCCAAAGCAATAATTTTTTTTATTTTTTTTATATGAATCTAAAAATAAACATACCTGGATCAGTCCACAGTTTGATGATAGAGCATGCGATGATTAGGTCGGCCCTTTTATATTGTGCAAATCGATTCTGTAAACAAAGAAAACCTAATTAGATTACTTTTGTTTGATTCTTTACATAAAAAAGAAATCAGATTTTATTCTTTTGTTTGCTGAGAAAATTTTATTTTTCAACAGGAATGCAAAAAAAAATTCTTACTTTTTTTTAATACACAAAAAAATTTCAAATAATCATTTATTTTATTTTTCAAACAAATATTTACTTGAACCAAATAATTTTTTATTTTATTAAAATAAATTCTATTTGGACAAATAATTTCTGTATTTAAAAGTTAAATAAAATAATTATTTAATACAAATAAATATTTATTTCATAGTCGCAAGTAACCGATTAGTTGAATCAAATAAATTTTTTTCTTGTGTATAAAAGATTTTCTATGTTTGCAATGCAAAATAACTGACAGTGTATAGTTTGAGTTTTAGGTTATTATATTTAGAAAAGTTTGGAATATTCATTTTGCTTTTCAAGTGGAAAAAAAAATACACGAAGATTAAAAAAGAAACTGATGAGGAAAAAAATTACTTGAAAAAGTGTATGTACTATTTAAATTTAATTAAAATATAAAAAAAATTACCATATATACCAAAAAAAAACTTTCAAAATCTTACTTTTGACTTAATTTTTAACACAATTTTTTTCAACTGAAATTAATATTATTTTCTATTTAAACAAAATTAAATAGTTTTTTTAAAAAAAAAAAACAGAATTTTTCTCTTTAAGAAAAATGAATGATTTTTGCATATCAAAAGAATTTAACGAGAAAATTTGAATTAAACGCAAAAAAATACACCTCTGAAACATAATAATATATAATCCTTCTATAAAAATAAATAAAATATAAAAAAAAATTTAATTATTATTATTTATAAAATAATTTTTTTATCCAACAAAATAGAACAATACTTCGTATATAAAAATTATTATCTTTCTTTTTGATAAAATAAACATCGCGAAATCGAGTGCAATTCAAAGGGATTAATCTAAAATTGCAAGGGAAAAAAAAAATTTTTTTTTCTTTTCATCTAAAAATACATTTAAAAGCGCTTTTCTGCGTAATCCTATTAACTTAGATTCTTGAAATAAATTTTTTTTTTTTTCAATAATCAATTTGATGGCAAAATTTTGATCATAAATTTTGTTTGGAAATAAATTTCAAGTATAGATTGATTTATAGAGCATTTCGAATTTGATCATTTTTTTTTCTTTCTTTTTTATTTTTTTAATACGAAACAGGAAATTGGAGTACCGTGTGTCACTTAATAATGGATATGTACTCCAATTTTCAAGCTCGTCTACTGCAAAACGATTTGTTAAAAACTCGTTAATTGAAGGAACCCGTCTGATTGCCTTCACGTTTAGAATTAGTCGAAATTTAACGAACCGTGGCTATTGTTTCGCTCAAATGGACATTATATTGAGTCTTGTGCGGACATTAATCAAGTATTAATTCCCAATGTAATTCGTCTGATAATATAAAGAGAAAAATAATTAATTAATATAAAAAAAAAAAAAACATAATTTAAATAAACATTTTCTTGTAATATTTTTTTTTCCGAATATTGTATTACGTAGTTTGATAATTTTTATATAGTAATTTTAATATCATATGTACATTATTTTTTATTTTTTAGAAAAATTATATTTTATTATTTTTTTTTACTGTATTTTATTATTTATAACAAAAATTAGTAGATTGAATTTTTTTAAATTAAACATTTTCGTTTTAACAAACATTTAGTTTGGCACTCAGTTTTTACTTTGAGATCATGAGCGAGAAAGAGAGAGAGAGAGAGAGAGAGAGAGAGAGAGAGAGAGAGTGGAAAGTGCTCAAGTCTCCCCTTTTTTCTGAAAATTACAGGAGTTTAAACTTTGCTAATGACTCTCGAAGCTCGAAATTCTAAAGAAGATGTAAACTCAACAAATTTTCGGATAAATATTTAACGAAAAAAAAACACGTTAGCCAGACAAATTGTTAATTTCTTCATTTAACATAAAAAATAAATTTTTTTTTTTTAATAAAGAATCTCATTAAATTAGAAGCAGTAGATTAAGAGTTTTTTTTTCCTTCATTTACAAAGAAACAGTTTAAAAAATAATTTAAAAATAATAAACTATATCATTAAAATACACTATCTATTATACCAAAACTTATAATAGGCAGGTACAATTACTACATTTATCATAAAATAAAATTTTAAAGATAATTTTTTTAAATTATTTTATATTTCACTAATTAATTTTCTATTATTAATAATATATAAGATCTTTTTTCAATAAAAAATAAAATAAAATAGAAATAAAAAAAAAAAAAAAGTCTCGACATTTGACTTTTAACTCGTGCGTGCTTCTTCGCGTAAATATTCGTGCATCACGAATATTCTGTAATCAGACACAAAAAAAATAGAAAGCTTGAGATAAAAAATAATTTACAAAAAGTGATAAACGTAATTCTCGTTGCAGTTAATTTTCATTATTTATAATTTAGATAACATTTATATATAAAAAGAATATTCTCAAAAGCTTTTAAATTAAAATTTATATGAAAAATGCAAAACAAAAATTTCTTATTTTACAAATAGAAAATAAAATTAAAAAAAAAAACATTAAGATCAAAATAATATTTTCTTAACAAAAAAAAATAAAAATTATTTCAGAAAAATTTTATTTCGTTCATTAATTTTTTTCTACAGTAAACGTTTAAAACTAATTTTACTTCTATTTAAAAATAATTTTGAATATCCCATTATATTTATGCACAAGTTTTCCGTGTTCTCTTCTATACGAGAAAATGAAAGTTATTAACTGCACAGTCGAGAATTACTCTTAACTTTTCGCGCGGGAACTATATATATTTTTTTCCATGTTCTGCAAGGTTTGAAAAGGCAAGAATAAAAAATGTATTAAAAAAAAAAAAAATGTTCCCTATGCCAAATTCATCGACTTGCTCACGAGTAATTACATTACATATATATATATATATATATATCACTGCGGCTCTTAATGAAAAGCTTTTAAAAAGTATCTACTTGAAAATCAACCCAGACTTAATTCCCGTTGAGTATTACATGAATATATATATATATATATATATATATATATATATATATATATATATATATAATATAATATTTTAAAAAATCCGCGTTGGAAATTGAAAATATTTTTTTTACTTGATATTAATTATTATTCTATAAATGCATGAAATGTGGTATAAAAATAACAAACAAAAAAATTTAACATAAAGCATAAATTTTACATATTATAAAATTCACATACGAGAGATTAAAAACGAAAATTCTCAAATTTCGTATGCTTTTAATTGGTTTCATTTAATTAATAAATAAAAATTTACGTTTGATTATAATATCTAAATGAATTCATTCGAATAAAATAAATAAATCTTTGATTTAAAATAAATAAAACCCTTATAATTTAAAATAAATTAATAAACTTTTCAAACAAATAATTTTCGTTAAATTATTAAAAAAATAAAATAAAATTCCCAAACAAATAAATCTCTTTTGAATACAATTTACAATAAAATAGCTGATAATTTATAAATATAAAAATGCTTTAGTCAATGAATTTTTCGTATTTAACAAAAATTATTTCTCCAAACAAAAAGAGCGCCATTAAGCAATATATTTATACAGTCAATTTTTTTACAAATAATCAATAAGCATAATAATACTTTTATATATATATATATATATATATATATATATATATATATATATATATATATATATATATATATATATATCTATCTCAAATGTTAAATTAAAGGAATAAACATTGTATAATCAATCAATATAGTAATGAAGGTTTTATATAATGACAGTTTATATAAAATATTTTTCACATTAATTTCTTTGTTATTCATTAGTCATGGATTTTTATTTTTTTCACATTTCATTAAAGAAAAATTTTATTTTTTCTTAATTAGAAATTTTGCAATTAAAAATAAAATCAAAATTTTGAAAAAATAATTCAAAATTAAAATAACCAAAAAATTAAAGAAAATTAATTTAATACAATAATGTAATTAAAAATAGAAACAAAAATTAATTATTTGAAAAAAATTTTAAACAAAAAAAAAACAAAAAAAAATTCTAAAATATAAAAATAATTGTACCCATAGATGAATAAACATTGTCCATTGACTAAAAACACAAAAACATGTTCTTGTATAATACTATAAAGCTATATACACCTGGATCTGTAATTGCGCTCATTGCATAAAAAAAAACTACATTGTTGGACTTTGTGATGCAACCTTGATGTTAGGTTATATTCCTCTCTTTTTTTTTTTTGCATATTAAACCGACATTTTTTTTTTAAATTACATTAATTCTTAATTTCTAATAAAAGATAAAACGCTTATCTTATATGAGTATTAAAAATGTTTTTGATAATAAATTTTAAAAAGAAAAAATTTTTACTACCTTCATTTCATGCATCTATAAAAAAAAGTTTCCGAGTCTAAAAAGTGTAATTAGATTTTTTCTCAACTCTTTTCCTTGAATATATATATATATATACTTTCTTCGCATACATAAAACTGAATTTACATTCAAAGGAATAATTTAAGAGTAATTATCCTTTTGATTTA